TGATGTTTTCTTCTAGCAGTTTTACAGTTGGGTCTTACATTTAATTATTTAGTTTGAGCTGATTACTTCATATTACATGAACTTTCATAACAATGGCCAGATAACACATGAAAAGATTCTATCATTAGTCATCAGAAATGTAAAGTGAGGCATCAAGTATGCTATATAATTACTACAAAAACTAAAAAAAAAAAAAAAACCCAAAGTATTAAAGTGGGAATGTAAAAAGCTGTAATGACTTTGGAAATCTTATGGTAATTTCTTGTTAAATAATAGAGCACTTACCACATGAGCTAGCAATTGCCTTCCTAGCTGTTTAATCAAGTGAAATGAACCATATATGCAGCAAGGATTTGTAAATAGAAGTTTATATTAGTTTTGTTTTCATTTATCCCAAATTGGAAACAATTATCTATCAACATGCAAATAAATAATTAAACTTTGATATTTATATTCATTCAAAGAAATAGAAATCAATATAATAAAAAGTAACAGACATACAAAACACACAGCAGCTTGCAAAAAATATCTATCATGGTAGATGACAGAAAAGAATATATGACCCATGGATTCTGTGTAACTGAAAATCTAGAATAAGCAAAGCTATATTATTTGTCACTAAGCTATAGTGACAAAAAGAAAAGCGTTCATTGCTTGAGTCTAAGGGGGAAATAATGTGAGAATAAAAGGCACGAGGAAGTTTTGTGTAGTAGATAAGTGCTATATTTTTTACTGTGGTTGGAATTATGTGTGTGTGTGCATTTGTGAAAATCATTCAGCTCTATATTTATAATGGGTGCATTTTATTATGTATAAATTATAGCTCTAAACATTTATAAAATGATATCATCTCTTACCTTTAGAATAGTAATACTCAGTGGGAACACTATTAATACCTTGGGTAGGGGATTTGAAATCCTTGTATAAGGATTCTTATCTAAGCAACTTTCATGACAATATTAACACATGAAACGAACATTTCATGTTACTGAAAATAAAAACTATCTCCACACGTTTTCAAATATCTCTTGGTGATTTCCACTGCCTTATTGACTACTGGTTTATAATCTATTTCTTTAATACGTAAGAGTTTGACCTACTTGCCATTTATTTGTGCTTTTGTTTTACTTGCATGTGGGATAACCAACTGTTTATAAAACAACATGCTGAACAGACATTATTTTCTGTGAGTAATTTAAACAACCTCAAACTTACATTGCTAATTCTCTTTTCATTGCATGTATACGAACAGCATCTATTTTATTGTTTTCACTATTCTAGCTGTTTTCTTCTTCTGATACTGAGGTTTGTTATGCTTTCGTTTTCTCTGCACATATGTACTATGCCTCATCTGTAACTATTTGTGAAATGACTCGATCTTGGTATTGGCTTGAGTGGGCAATCTTGTTTACCACATACACTTAGTAAATGCTTTTGAGTTGAGTTATTTGCTATCAAAATGTCAAACCAGTGTTGTTTTTTGTTCATTTGTTTTATTGAAAAGAGATTCTTCAATGTGAATGCAGCTTGTATTTTGTATGCTAGAGAATACTAGCTTCTGTGGTGGCTGACACATTGAGACACAGTACTGAAATTATAGCTTGAAGGATGAATTCTATGCGCAGTGGCAATCAGTTAAGCCATTTAGGAGAATATTTCTTCAGTTTCTGTGGAGGTATTTCAAATGCTTCTCACACTGTCTTTTCCTTTGACCCGCATGAGTAGAATACTCTGACTTTCACCAAAGGAAAGTCTTCAGAGAATTTCTGCAGGTAGATGTCCCAAGGTAGATGCCAGTTCTCCAAGTCTCAAGGCTGATGAAATCCTAATACTTCTCCCAAGGGGATCTCAGACCATGTCTTTACCTACATCCTGGCCACAGGGACAAACCAAGTGAGAAAAAAGAAAAAAACACACAAGGAATTTTGTGTTTATCTGTAGCATAGATGGTGTGCCAAAGTCAATTGCATAGCAGGGAGCAGATCCCTCAGCTTATTTCCCTCATAAACTAATTGAATACAGTGCAACCTAATTCATGAATAGCATGAAAAGGAGCATTTAAAGAAAATATAAATAATAGCCTTAAATTTCTGAAAAATAACCAAAAAAATATAGGCTGTGAGTATACCTGGGTGGATATAACCTGTGTTATTTCTCACTTTTCTAGAGAATAGTAGTGTTACATGGCAATACTTTCTATTATTTAGATTATTTCTGTGATTTGAAGCAGTTTCTCAGATATTTATTTGGCATGCAAGAAGAGTTATTATGGCTTATCAATTAAGACATCAAATAAGTAAAAATATATGTAAGTTTCTCCTTATATTTAATGCTATTATATTTTATAAAAATGCTAAATAATTTTAATTTTTATCATTGTTTCCTACTGCTGCTGCTGCTGCTAAGTCGCTTCAGTCATGTCAGATTCTGTGCGCCTCTATAGATGGCAGCCCGCCAGGCTCCCTTGTCCTTGGGATTCTCCAGGCAAGAATACTGGAGTGGGTTGCCATTTCCTTCTCCAATGCATGAAAGTGAAAAATGGAAGTGAAGTCGCTCAGTCATGTCCAACTCTGTGACCCTATTGACTACAGCCTATCAGGCTCCTCTGTCCATGGGATTTTCCAGGCAAGAGTACTGGAGTAGTTTGCTATTTCCTTCTCCGTTTGTTTCCTACTAAGTATATATATATATATATATATATATATATATATATATATATATATATATATATATATATATATATATATATATATACTGTTGGAGAGTGAACAACTCCCTTCTGCCTAATGGTAGAATTATATAATTTTGAAAAAGAAAAGTTATTTTCTTTTGGGATGGCATTGAATTAATTTTATTGTTAAATTTTTACTTATATGCCTTCCAAATAAACAGTTTTTCTTTCCTTTTGTTAATTCTAGGAGAATAGTAATAGTAACAATAGAAGATTAGTCATGTGACATGCTATAGCATGACTAAATAGTATGCTATTTGTTGTTCATCTGCTCAGTTGTGTCTAACTCTTTGCAACCCCATGGACTGCAGCACACCAGGCTTCCCTGTCCTTCACCACCTCCCGGAGCTTGCTCAAACTCATGTCCATTGAATTGGTGATGCCCACAACCATTTCAACTTCTGTCATCCCCTTCTTCTCCTGCCTTCAATCTTTCCCAGTTATCAGATATATAGATAATAGCAATGAGATAACTTTGGCACATGAGTTTGAGCAAACTCCAGAAGATAGTGTAGGACAGGGAAACCTGGCATATTGCATTCCATGGAGTCACAAAGAGCTGGACATGACTGAGTGACTGAACACTTCAGACACATGGTCTTACAAAAAGAATATAAATAGCAATATTTTTCTTGTGATACCAGAGTATCAAACTCTACAAATACATTAAAATTTTTTTGTCCGAGTTCTTCCCCCAAAATGGCTTTCTTAAATTATATATTCTAGGTCAATTTCTAGTCATATATTTAAAAATACTTTTGAACTGGTTTCAAAAGCACAGTTTTATTTTTATTACTCAGAGTAATGTGGCAAAAATCTTAGAAGTTTTAGGGGATTAATATCAAAATGTTGGTTTAAATTTTTATCATATATATCCTGAAAAGTTCTACTTTATCATAAGAAAGCCACAGGGAGCATGAAGGCTATATACAGTTCTCTATAGAGGTTTATGATTCAAAACATCCACAGAGGTTTACAACAGAAACCTGTGGACATGAACCATATTGCTTTCATATTCCATTTTGCTGCTTTTTCATTGTGATATAGAAGATATAAAGTCTATATTTTCACTGTCAGAACTTTTATTTAAATGACAAATATATGTATTTTACATAAACAAAGTTTTAATATGCATATTAAGATTGTTTTCTATTATAATTTGCCTTTATCATCTGGATAGTTTGGCACAAAAACAAATATATACATAGATATAACAGTTGAAAGGCATTGTTTCTCTAAAACAAGATTTCTTTTTCTTCTAAATTTTGATAAGAAATAGTTACAACTATAGTTATAAATACTGTGTTATGCACTTAAAAATGCTATATACATTGAAGGATGAATGGATTTGTGACTTTAATATTAATTTTTTGAATGCTCCTAAACAACTGAGAGATTTCACTTTCTTTCTTTCTATAGTTCCTTTTGGAGAAGGAAATGGCAACCTACTCCAGTGTTCTTGCCTGAAGAATCCCATGGACAGAGGGGCCTGGTGGGCTACAAGTCTATGGGGTTGCAAAGAGTTGGACACAACTAAGCAACTAACACATACACACACAAACAATGTAGGAGAATTAGTAGATGCAATGATTTTAAAAACAAAAACTAAAAATAATATTGATGAACAAAAGCTTGTCCATAAATGTCAAATCCATGCTTTTTAAAAAAATTGTCTGCAGATAACAGTTTGCTCATCTACCAATTTCCCACCAAAACCTAAAGGATTCCATGTAACAGGGTTTACAGTGTTAAAAGTGTAGGCAATTCTTTGTCTACATAAGGCTACTAGTATGGCCCAGGGGGTCCATTCTGAGAGTGCCCACCCCCAATGCACTGGTCTCTGATCCACATGCTGTTCATTTCTTCACCCTTCTCTAATGTCTAGGATGTGAAATCTTCAGCGATATGACAATGGCATGCTTGTTCCAATGGCCACAATTTTATATATTAGTTGACCTGCGGTTGTTTAAAACAACCTACTTAGATATACTATATCACCCTCAAACTAAAATGATGTAATTAGGAAAAATACTTATTTGTTTAATTTCTTCATTTGTAAAGTAGATTATTAGACTGTTTGTGATTTATTTCATAAACTAGATAAACTAAATGAAGTAAAAATACTTATAAAGATACCAATTTTTTTGCCAGACATTAATCTTTATTATTTTGTCTATTATCATCATGAAATAAATATGAAATATTCCTTCCTTGCTTATCTGCCATATTCTAGGTTTTGTTGGTTCATTCCAGACCAAGAAGGTGAGATATGAATGTGGCAAATCAAACAAGAGTGACAGAGTTTATTTTTCTGGGATTTTCTGGTGTTCTCTATCTAAGGCTTGCATTATTTGCGATGTTTCTCACTGTATATCTGCTCTCTATCATGGGAAACACCCTCATCATCTTCATTATTCTCATGGATTCCACACTTCAAACACCCATGTACATTTTTTTAGGAAATTTGTCCTTTCTAGAGATCTGGTACACGACAGCCACAGTGCCTAAATTGCTGGCCACTTGTCTCTCACAGGTTGTTACCATCTCCGTTTCTGGTTGTATAACCCAGTACTACTTTTTTTTCTCTATGGGGGCCACAGAGTGCATCCTGTTGGCTGTGATGGCCTATGATCGCTATGTGGCCATATGCAGCCCTCTAAGATATGCATTCCTCATGAGTCTCCAGGTATGCCTGCAGTTTTCAGCTGGATCTTGGATTGGGGGCTTCATTGCCCCTCTCCTACCTACCATACTCATCTCTTACCTAAACTTTTGTGGACCTCAAAAGATTAATCATTTCTTCTGCGACTCAGACCCAATTTTTAAACTCTCCTGCTCAGATACATTCTTGGTGGAGGCTTTGGGTTACACATGTAGCTCTGTTGTGATTCTAAGTTCTTTTCTTCTCACTATGTCATCCTATGGGAATATTGTGGTCACAATAATCAAGCTATCTTCCCGAGAGGCTCGGAAGAAAACTTTCTCCACCTGCGCCTCCCACCTCACTGTAGTTACCATCTATTATGGCACCATTATCTTTGCCTATGTTCGTCCTCCAGCCAAGTACAACTTTACCATGGGTAAAGTGATTTCAGTATTCTACTGTGTAGTCACTCCATTGGTAAATCCTCTTGTATACACCCTAAGAAACAAAGATGTGAAGAAAGCTTTCAGGAAAGTTCTAGCACAAAAGAGGTTGCTCTTGGGCAGACACATGCAGAATATTTGAGAGATCAACTAAAACAAGCAATTTAGAATTGATTTCCAAACCACATTTGCAAGTGGTAAGTATTTAAAATTATGTAAGTGATACAACCTAATATGGACATATCTGTACTTTTCATTTTGGTTTGAATTCTGCTGAAATAGATATTCTGTAATTACTATGTTCAAGAAGACCTCAGTGCAATGTCATAATAATAAAGAGACAAATAACATAAATTTCCTGCCCATGAGACATTTACAATGGGAAAATTGGCTAATTTAGTCGCATATAATGGTTAGGTTGATTTTTTAAATAATTTATATCTTTATAGTAACCATGGGCTAGAATTTGTTCCTGTTAAATAATTCAGTGTTACTTCATTTAGTAGATGGACCATTATAAATGTACTGTCTTTTACTTCAAATTCATTAAATATTTATTAAACACATATAATAAGCCAGGTACTATTCATAAGCATGGATGTTGATTTAAGTATGCATATAAATATAACTGGAGAATTTCATTAGAAAAATATCAGAAAAATATTAGATAGCTAAAATTTTTTCAGATAATATTACAGAATTTCTAATGATCACAGAGGTAGAAATTTTGATAAGTAGAGGGGAAAAAAGGAGAAATCTAGAACTAGAGAGTACAAGAACTGAATATCTAATATGGTAAAACAAGTATCAACTTTCCAATATGCTTATAAAATATTTAAACAGTCAATAATTTAAGCAAATTAATTTAATTAAGCCAAAGAAAGAGAGGGGGGAAAAGGAAGAAAAAGTCTTAGAAAAAACAATGCCATTATCAAGTCCACATTACATGTTAATGAAAAGCTTTACAAGTTTTATTTCAAAATAGTTTAATAACAAAAAGGATTACAGGAGTGCTGGAAGAATTCTATCAAAGCTTTATAGGATAAGTGTTCTTTACCTGGGGACTTCTCTGGTGGCTCAGATGGTAAAGAATCTTCCTGCAATTCAGGAGACCCCGGTTCAATTCCTGGGTTGGGAAGATCCCATGGAGAAGAGAATGGATACTCACTCCAATATTTTTGCCTGGAGAGTTCCAAGGACAGAGGAGCCTGACAGGCTACAGTCCATGGGATCACAAAGAGTCGGACACAAGTAAGAGATTAAGACTTTCACTTCACTTTCTTTACCAGATTGCCTTTGAAAATTTTGCTATTTAGAGTGTGGTCAGTGGCTAGAAGCATCAGAGTAATCTGGGACTTTGTAGAAAGCCAAATCCAACCTCAGTCCCTTGAATGAGACTATGCACTGAAACAAGATTCCCCAGTTGACTGATTTGCAAATGAAATCACTAGAAGAGCTATTTTAAGCAGTCAAGTTTTAAAAAAAATCTTAAAAAAAAATCGATTCAAAATTTTCTCACACATGACAATGCTTGTTTTCTTTTTCCTTTATTAATTTTAAATTTTGATATGTCATTTTCTGGTACATAATTAAAACAAGCTGTTTGCATGAATTCACAATGAGTTTTTATTTTTAATGCAATACATATCCATGGAAACTATTGTCAAAATTACCTGTACATGTAAATGAAAAATGTATGCTATCCATCAGCATTTTTAACCCTTCCTTTTCCAACAGAATATTAAAAGCATATACAATTATAACAATAACAGGGAAATATTCTATTTTTGTTATTCAATCACTCAGTCAAGTCCGACTCTTCCATGGATTGCAGCACACCAGGCTTCCCTGTCCTTCACTATCTCCCAGAGTTTGCTCAGATTCATGTCCATTGAGTCGGTGATGCTATCTAACTGTTACAAGGAGGAAGTCAACTCTGACTGCATGTTGGAAACTGTTTCTTCGACTTCCTTTTATAATCATACTCAGTGGCTTGCCTGGAGACCCTGCCCCTTTGCTTGACTGTAAACTAAAGTGCCTTTGTTCAGTTCATGGAGAGATAGGTTGCCCCTGCCCACCTGTGAATAGAAGAGACTATCACACCCCTTCTGAAGGCTGGACATTCCCTTGGAGATGTTTTGAAAGACTAAAGACCCTTTCACTTTACTTTCCTACAGCATCTCCCTCTCTGTTCTGCGTTTTGACTTTAGTTCCTCATTGCTTCTTTCTCTCTGGTATATAAAATAACCTGGCATCCAGACCCCAATAAGATGGTTATTTTGAGGTGCTAGTCTGCCATCTAACCAGTCTGCTGGCTCCCTTAGTCTCTTCCTTGCCTCAACACCTTGTCTCTCAGATTCATTGGCTTGTCGTGAGGCAAGCAGAGTGAACTTGGACTTGGTGCATAAACATCTCATCCTCTGTCATCTTCTTCTCCTTTTGCCTTCAATCTTTCCCAGCATCAGGGTCTTTCCCAATGAGACATCTCTTTACACCAGGTGACCAAAGTATCGGAGCTTCAGCTTCAGCATCAGTCCATCTAATGAATATTCAGGGCTGATTTCCTTTAAGATTAACTAGTTTGATCTCCTTGCAGTCCAAGGGACTCTAATTTTCACAATAACAGGGAAACATTTTGTATTTTCACACAGGTATTTCTGTATGCCATTCTTCAGGGTAAGAAAAAGGATATTTTAAACTTTGAGGTTCTGTGGTTAAGGCTATGTATTAAACTAGCAGGACAGATTCATGAGATAGAAGCAGATACAGTTTTAATTTTTTACCAGCACATCGGTGTCTTTTAAAGAAAAGAAACATAAAACAAAAAAAATAATGTTGCTCATTATGCAATTTTAGAAGGGTTAAGTCATTAGCTACTGAAGTTACTGATGACATTGCACAATAAGAGGAATTTAGGACGAAAATAAAGATGAGTCATTTCATGTTTTGACATAGCATGCTCCTTAGTTAGATGTATATCTCAGGAAGTGTTTTAATAAACCCACATTTTTGCATTGTCCCACACACAGAAAAACACTGAAATAACTTACTGAGATATCTGTTATTTGTGTGTCACAGTAATCTCTTACCAAGATGTATACTTGGAGGCATGTATTTCCTAGCAAAAAGTTTTATATACTGGCTTATCCCCTACCTCTTCCTAAAGCTAGTGAGAGGCTATGCCCCAGGCTAAAGGCCTAAAAATTGAATTTACAACCATTATATTATTCATTTTTCTTTAAGAAAACAGAAACCAGAAGTCATTAAACCCAGAAGTTTATGTAATTTTTTTTTTAATCAAATAATGGTAAGTTCTGGGGATGTGACAAGATGAAGATTCCTGGGCTAGGAGCATGAAGTCATGGGAGTGTGACTAAGAAATTCATGGAGAAACTAAAGAACAATAAAATGTATTTTACTAGATTTGTTTTACAGGTTCATTTTGTTGTCAAAGCCCAGCTTTCAGTGATAAGAATGCTATTCTTTTCCTGCGTCAGAGTGGGCAGCTTCCAAAAGGAAATGTTATGTCTTGATTATAGGTAGAAAGGAAAAATCATAAAGCCCTTTCTGAATCTGCTGTTTCTCAAGTGCTTTCAGCTCAAAACAGTCATTATGCCAAAGCAGCATATTTTGGTGTGGCATTCTCTCACATCCTCACAAATGGACAAAGACTTTTTCTTATTCTGTTACTGGTAGTGATCTTCCGAAATCCAGTTCTTTGACAGAAAATATATCTAAGTCTTCAAACTTTTGTCACACTGCTTATCCCAAAACTGACTATTTTATTTATTTTTCTTTGTTTTTATCAAGGTCAAGCCAGGAACTGTGGGTGATTTTGAGTAATTCCAAAAGGAAAAATTCTGTTATCTACTCCAACTACAATTTAAAGATACACAGATAAGTTTGCCTGTCTCATTTATTCATCTTCATCTTGTTTTTATATTTTTGTCACATTTTGATCTTACTTTCCAAAACTGGAAAAGGGCAAACTTTGTATGTGATAAGTACCACATTTCTTTTTGGCAGGGTACATTAAAACTGATTATCATATATTTTAGAATTTTTCCTGCTGGTGATCTTTATAAAGCAGTATAAACATAAAACAAAATGCAAACCCACAAGAAAAAGTTAAAATGAAAGTAAAATAGCATTTATTTAGATTATAAAACTAGAAAGGTATTTGATAAAATTTCACAGGATGCAAAGGAATTAAATATTTTATAGAGAGAATAGTGTTTATTTATAGTTTGTTCTCTAACGCTTATCAATACATGTAGTTCTGTGAATTAAAATGACAATGTATATAAAGGTAATTCTTATAAGTATTTGAGCAACTTCCTCACTTAGGAAATTGTCTATAAATATTTTTTCTGGTTGTACTTTTCTCTATGGTATGAATATGCTGAAATAAATATTGCAATTTATATTTTGAATATTAAATCTGTATTTGTGTATTCCTTCCAAATACTAGTGTACTGAATTCTGTGTAAAATATCTATCTGATCTATCTGCTCACTGACTGTTTCCTTATGAAAGAGGCTTGAATTCTGAAATTAAATATAGAAAACTGAAGTCTACTTCATTCCATTATTTTCATGGGAAAAAAACCCACAACTATATCAAGTAATGGTTCCTTGTTATTTAAGGTGGAAAGTCTGGCACATTTGGATTTTCACTGCCATCCCCTAATCCATCACTATTCATAGCCAATCCATCAAAATTCTCATTTTTCTACCAAATTCTTTTCAAATATATCAATATATTTTCATTTCCTTAGACAATATCAGAATTTGAGCTACATATTGTGCATATTTAGATACCAGTGTTATTCCCCACAAGGACCTGACCCTTCCCCTCAAGACAACATCCAATGATAGCCACATGAAACAATCAGAATGGACATTTTACAGTGTTAATAAGAACATGTTTCTTTTGTTTCTAAAACAGGTAAGAGTATTTTTCTGTTTTAAGAATATAAAGACTACTCATCCTGATCTAGAAATATTGCATTGTCCAGTTCTGTCTTATTTTCTTGCTCCTTCTTTTGTCAAAGTTGAAGCATTACTAGATTGTCTTATCACCATATACTCAACATGAATTTTCCCCTACTTGTCATGAAGGATGTTACTCACTCCACGGGGC